AAATTGTATGATGAATCATTCAAATAAATAAAAAAAAAAGAAGAAAACTTGTGAATTGATTAATATCAAATCGGATTATAAATTTAAATTTGCTTTTAATATATATATATATATCTGTTTTATTTTAACATAACTGATTTTTATCTTTTCTCTATTGTTCCAAATTATCATCAATCATTTTTATCAACAAATCACCATTGATATTGCTTATTAAACATAATCTTTTTCAATAGATCTTCATTTTTATATATGACAGATTAATAACATTCAAAAATATTTCTACTGTGTTTCTCTAGTTTTGATAATGTCAATATTTAGAAGAAAAAAAAAACTTTAATGCTAATTATATCTTTATATATATATATATGACATCCTGTATATCTGCATGATTTTTTTCATTTAGACGACGGAAAAACTTTTAAATAAATATTTTAGTCGTCATCAAAACAATTATTTAATTAAAAAATGTCAAACTTGAAAAAAAGAATATATAGGAGGAAAATAATATATATTAATGGTTTTTCAACCAATGAGAATAAAGATAATATATAGACAAGGAAAACCCAGTGAGTTAAAGACAAGAACAGGAAGTTATGTGTTGAACAGGACTAGTGAAGTCTCTACACTTTCAATGTCAAATACAAATTGATTAAAAATCTCTAGAGATTTAATGTAACATTAAACAAATTTTGTGTCTTTTATAGATCATATAATGTCCTAAAATACAAAAGATCTATTCAACAAAAAAAAATTAAGGTCAACAATGGCGGCCTTATTGATTCAAAGGAGTTATGGTATTTCTATTCAAATATTATTTTTATATAAATGATGTTTTTTTTTTATTTCTAGGCTCAATAAACAACAAAGATGTTTAATCTTTGAAATAATATTCTTTTCTCGATGGATGCAAAACCTGACTTAAGTCATTTAACTGATGATGAAAGAAAAATCATTGAAGCTGTTATTAATCGACAAAATGCAGAAGAAAAACTTGATGCTTTTAATATTCCGTAATAAAATATTAATTTAAAAGAAAAAAAAAAAGAATATTATTTATTTAGATCTCCTATTGATGATTATTCATTACCATCCATAGCAATATCATCATCATCATCGTCTCGTCGATATTCTCAGTCGAATGAATCAGGTGTATTTTGTCAAATTTGTCAAAAAACAAAATTCGTCAATGAACAATCATCTCGACAATGTTCCATATGTCAAAAACGTTTCTGTGTACGTTGTGGTATACGTTTAAAATCTCAATATTATGTTTGTAATCAATGTCGGCAAAAACAAGAACATTATTTTTCATCAACAAAAAATATTTGTAAACAATATCTATCGGATTATATTTTATCTCAAACATCTGATGAAAATAATCAAATGAATAAACAACGTATGTTACCAAAACCAGAAATAAATAATAATAATAAAAATCATGATGAAGCATCACCATCAGATTCAAATAAAAATACAAGATTATTACCACAAATAAAACCAAATCTACGTTCAATGAATATTCTAAGAGATTTTCAATATCATTCACTTGAAGATAGAGAAATTGGTCATGAATTAACATTAAAAGATTCAGGAATTGATACAGCTAGTTCAAGTACAATATTAAATGTTATATCATCCGAACAATTTAAAAAGGTTTTTATTGTTGTTGTTCGTCTTGTGTACGTGTTAAATATGAAAAAAAAAAAGAATTTTTTTTATTTTTATTTTTGTGTATTAATTAATTATTTTTGCCATTTGTTTAGCCGATGACATATTGGCGTTTTAATGAAGCCCATACAGAACAAATTGGTTATATTTATTTAAAAAATACTCTTCCAACACATGGAAAAATACATAAAGAAGATATTTTTAAAGTATTAGGTTTACAAATTCAAAATAGTATTCGTTATGAAAATGAATATATGGCTGAGATTACTAAAGTTATACCTGGAAGTATTGCTGATACTTATGGACAATTACGAATTGGTATTTATTAAATAAAATAATATAGGAAGAAAAAAACATGTTTTTTTTTATTTTTTAGGTGATCAAATACTTGAATGGAATGGTGAAAAATTAACAAATGATATAAATCAAATATTTTCTCATATTCCAAAACATTCTCCACAAATTCATATGATTGTTAAACGATTAATTAGGTAATAATATTATATATTAAAATAAGAATTTTGAAGTATTTATTTCTTTTATTATTATATATAGAAATCCAATAGAATCTAATAATGATCATTTAATATCCAATCGAATTTTTCAAGGTAAGAAAAACACAAGAAATATTTTTTAATAATTTGAAGTAACTAGTTTTATTGAGTTTATATTATTGTCTATGACACTTGTTATTGTCATTTTTGATTTCCGTTTTATTTTATTCCTAAGTACAGGGAAAGATTATAATGACCTGTACGGAAAAATAAGAATGATGAAGAAGTGCTTGGACACATATTCACTCTTAAAAAGAATGAGTTGTACTTCATTCTCTTTTCTCATCTGTCGATGAATACAAAATCCTTTTTTTTCTCTCCCCTCCCCTCCCCTCTGTCTTCTTTTCTTCTAAACGACATCGCTACGCTCTCAATAGAATATTGAAAGAAAAGAAGAAAATAGTCTTCATAACAAGACATTCATCTCTTTTCCAAAGTTCATTACAATTTACAATGAATTCAATGACATTAACACAAATAGATCTTCTGGGAAATATCATATTATTAGAATTTTCGAAACAATTAAATATATTAAATAGATACATCAAGATCATAATTTTTTTTTAAATTTTGTTTTAGAAGATAAAACAATTTCGTCAACAATAGAAACTAATTACATCCAATTACAAGTAGAAAATTTTGTTTTTATCTTAAATGTTATTCATTGTTGTTTTGTTTTTCTTTTCGCTATAGTTTTCATATCGATATGATGAAAATTGTTTACATGTTATGATATATGGTGCTAGACATATTCCTATTCGACAAGGATTAGTTGCTTGTCAATTATCATTGCAATATGACCGTGATATATCGTAAAAGAAAAATTTAAAACGAAAAAAAAAAGAAAGATTTTATTATTGTATTGAATTTATTTAGATCAACAGAAGAAAAATGTACTAAAGCTCAACCATGTTCATCTGGTATATGTACTTGGAATCAACATATAACTTTTTTCGATATTGAAACGCTTGATAATATTCTATTATGGATTAAATTAATTAATCTTGAACACAATCAAGAAATTTTAGGAGAAATCAAATTTAATAAATTATATTCAAATAGTAAAACAGAATGGTATAATTTAAATAACAATATATCAAACGGTTTGTTTGAAAATACTAAATATAACAAAGTTAGACAGTCTACATATCTGTTTAGGATTACCATTCAATCGTGTTCTTCCACCACCAACAACAACAGACATGTAAGAATTAAATTATTACATATACGCATATATGTATTTATATTTATTTATAGTCCGTCAACGACGAATACTCGTAAAAGACAATTGCCAGATATTCCTACTGCACAATTAGAAGCAAATAGAGAAAAAGGTTTTTTTTAATTTGAATTATTTATTATTTGTATTTCATTTTAAAATTTTATCTTTAGTTTCACAAGATTTATTTCAAAAAGCAGCCGAATTAAAATTACGTCTTCATATGCAATCAAAAAATGAGAAATCTCTTATAATGCAACGTAGTTTTGATCATACAGAGTTAGTTTCTAAACCAACTTATGAAGATCGTACACAATCAATTGATGATAATTCAAGAAAATCACGAATAAGTTTATTATCATCATCATCAAAAATGTCTTCAACAAATACATCAAGAGAAAAACTACGTATACCAATGATTAGAGATAAAAGTGTACCCAATTCCATATTAACAAGACGAACAAGTTTGATCGAACAGAATGGTAATACTACTACTACTAATAATAATATTGAAAAGTCAAAATCGAAATCTTTTGAAGAAAAATATCGAAAAACGATTAAAAAACGATGTAAAATTCGAATTTAATTTTAAATCGATTATAACATTTTTATACTTTTATAGATTCATCTGAAACACAAGCAGAAGATGTTGATTCTGATGGATCAGAATTATCATCCGGTTCAAGAATTAGTTCAGCTAGCATATTATCAACACAATCTGAACGACCTCGATATCTACGAAAACATAAGTATTTATTTCTTCTTTTTGAAAACAAACAAACTCACAATCTTATTTCTTTAGTATACCAAAAAATGTTAATGAACAATTTTATCATAGTGATGAAATACAATTAAATGAAAAAGAACTTCGACAAATGGCTATGCGTACAAATGATACAGTAATAAATTCTACTATAAATAATCCAACAGCCACGGAAACACCAGTACCATCAACTTCTATTGTCAATGGCAAAATTAGTAAACTTGATCAACGTAATGATGGTACTGTATCGGATTCAGCTTTAAGTTCACAATCTGAAACAAATAAAAAACGGCAACCATCTATGTCATCAAAAGCTCTTGTTATACTTGGATTATCTAAAAAAGCGAATAGTTCATCAAATCTTGGTTGTGGTAAATCTATCATAATTAATATATATTTATATATTTCAATTATATTAATCTTTCTTTTTATAGCGAAAAGATATGGTTTCCAAAGAAGTGAAGAAATTGGTGTTCAACCTCATTTACGAAGTCGAGCATTACAACAACAAACAAGTAAAGAAAATGAAACACCATCTAGTGCTCCACCTATGGTTTCAACGAAATCATTATTTGCTGGAGCTTCTCCACCAAATCAATGTCAGTCTATGCCTAATGATATGATAAAGTATGATTCATAGTAAATTAGCATAATTTTAATATTTTATATTTTTTTAAGGTTATGGTCTGGTGGCCTTAAATTACCACATGAACATCAATTTACTGAATTTATTGAAGGTTTAGGAAAAGGACAATTAGTTGGACGACAAGTTTTAGCTTCACCATGTCATGGTGAAATTCAAATAGGTATCCGTAATCAAAATAGTTATCTTGAAGTTGAAATTGTACGAGCAAGAAATTTAATTCAAAAACCATACTATAAAATGCCTCCAGGTATATTATTTAGTTAAATTTTTTAAAAAAAATTTTTTCTCTTAATTTATTTCTAAAAATAGCTCCATATGTAAAAGTTTATTTACTTGATGGAAAAACATGTATAGAAAAACAACGTACTCGAACAACAACACGTCGTACACTTGATCCACTTATTCAGCAAGCACTTCTATTTAAAGAAACTTTTCGAGATAGAGTTTTACAAGTAAATTAACAATTAATTTTAAAAGATAGAAAAAAAAATGTTTTTTTTTCGTTAATAATAGATCAGTATATGGGGTGATTATGGTAAATTAGATCGAAAAGTATTTATGGGTGTTTGTCAAATAGGTTTAGATGAAATTAATTTAAATACTTCTCAACAAACTCTTAGTTGGTATAAATTATTCTCTTCTAATTCACTGATGAATAATTATACGATTGTACAACAATCAAAAAGAAAAAATACAATATCATAATAGGCATTTTATCTTATTTTCGTTTAACCTATATATTTATATCTAGTTTTCTGATTTGAGATTACAATCTATATATTTTATCTATCGATTGCGTTTGTTTTTCTTATTCGATATAATTGTGAGAAAAGAATATTTTTTAGTTAAAATTGATTTCGGAATTATATTTGTTTATTCGCCCTTTTCTTCTTCAGCAGTTTTTTTTCTTTTGTTCTCTGTTAATAAATAAATGTGTATCTAACGATAATTATTAAAGTATATTCAACTGAATTGTAAACAAAAGAAAAATATTCAATTTATTTTACTTATCAAATATTAATACTGGATTCGCATTATTGCATATTATAATTTATACCTTGATTATTTGATACACATTGACAGTTTTGAAGAATTATATTTGAAAAGAATTGTGATAAAAGATTGAAATAGAACTAAGTAATTCTTAAATATTTACTTATATAAAAACAATTATAAATGCCAATATATATATAACTATAATTTTTCCATTTTATTATTTATCAGGAACAGGAAAATAGATTTGATCTATTTAGAATATATTAATATATGACCTTATTTGTTCGTTACTTATTGACATTTAAACGTGAAGTATTTTGTAGACCTCTTTCCTGTACTTAGATACGAATTAAACATTGAGGGATCATATCTATTTATATATCTCATCCAGTTTTTGTTAATTGATTTAGATATAATCGAATCTGTTAAACAAAGAGTTCATTCATGTAATAATCTAGTAAAAATTATATTTCTTTCTACATTTTCTTTTCTTATATACCTGGATTATGTTCATCAATAGAATTATAAAATACGACATTCGCCATATAAATTTAGATTTAAATAGATTAACAATTGAACATATACTCACAAATGAAAAACAACAACGCTGTTTGTTATGTATATCATGATGTAAGATTGGATTTAGGCTATACTGCCAATAAAATAGTCCAATAATGATTTACTGAACAACCCAAGAGTACAAAACAATTTCCTTTTATTTTCATATACTTGGATGTCAGAGACATAACTTTCGCATGAAAATATTTTATTTAATTACCGGTCCTCAAATTCTATTGAAGTTCTTACAGAATTTGATAACATCCGACTGTCGGTTCAATCATTTTATGAAAGAAAATATTCAATTGAAAATTAATTGATGTACCGCCAATGAAAGTTCACATTATACAATTTTTCCTTTATTCTTTAAACACATAGAATTCTACTGATACAATTAAATCGATTACAAAAGTATTATTATTCTATTTATAACCATACTAATAAGATATCATTCTAATAGGATATGATTTCTAGTTTATTTCATTACTCATGAATGAATATTTATCATAAATACTAAAATCATGAGTTGAAGTCTTTGTTGTTATCGTTATGAATATGTGACGATGAAAATAGAATAAATATTATTAAAATCTCCGTCCTTTCTCTTTGTTTTTTAATTAAATAATCACGTTCATTTGGAATGACGAAATCTCGGACCGTACGAACGTATTTATATGAAATACAATACACACACACACACACACACAAAAGATTATAGCACATAGAAAATACATGGCATGGATAGAAAAAATCATTGCATATATAAAAAAAACTGACTTTATGTAATCATTACAAAAGCTTCATTTAAATATATAAAAAAAAAATTACAAAATACAATTAATGCACTAGTTAATTATCTGAAGATTACATTGACATATCACCAAACATATGTAACGAAAAACTATTGCTTTTTCTGTATCAATTTTTAAAAAAGAATAGAAAAAACATACATATATTTCCAAACAATGTAAATGCAGCACCTATTACCATACAATAATTTACACCAGTACGTTCTAATAATGGACCCAAAGACACAGCTACTATCAATTCACCGAGAAAATAACAACTATTTAATAACGAACAATCAACACCTATACCACGTTTTGTACCATCCTTATTTTTATACTAGAAAAAAAATATAAATTGATTTCAAATAATGATAAATGAGATTAATATTTACTGATTCATCTGCATGAAATTGTGAAAGCATATGATAAGGAAGAGTATTCAATGATACAACTAACATTCCAACTGAAATTTATAATAAGAAAAACAAATATTATTGAAATAATTGTTAAATAAACTTACAAGTAAAGCACATGGCTATATTAACAACAATTTCATGGACAAAAAAGTTTACCATACATCCAATTGCATATACAAAATAACCAACAAAATAAAGTGTTTTTAAAGAATATTTTTCCGCTAACCATCGTTCCAAAGCAACTAATAAATATACATATATATATTAGAAAAACAGATATTTAGGTTTTTTTTGTTAACTTACAAGCATAAAGAGCACTACTAGCTGAATATAAAAATAAACCCCAGCAACCCATGGTAACACCTAATCTATAACGTGCTAAACCAGCACCATCATTAGGGTCTTCCATTGTGCCATTGTATACTGTCTTCAAAAATGGAATTTATTAGAAACAAATAAGAAATGAAATGTTCAGTATTTACTTGAGCTATAAAATCAGTAAAATATAGATGAGTAGCAAAATAGCCGATCCAACCAATAACTTGACATATCATTAATTTCCATAATCGAGGAGGCATCTTTTTATTTTCAAAAATAAAAATTTTTATTCAAACAAAAATATAGAATACATACCCGAACCATTGAAATAATCATAGATTTAATTGTTACATTATCTTCTTTATCAAAATCATCAATTTCTTCCGATGCAGGACGTCGCATAAGACCTTATTTATTTAATAAAAAAATTATATGATAGTAATGAAAAAAAAAGTTCTTGTATACCTAATTTAACTAATTTTGCTTTTTGTTTAAGTTCAGCTTCGAATGCTTGGGTTGGAACAGGTACGGGATTAGATGGATCGGCATTTGTCATCGATGCTGCTACAACTTGATGAGAATCTTCCAATTTTTGTAATAATATGCTTTCACTTGATCTCTCAATATGATCATGAGGAACATTTGTACCTGTAGCTGTATCAATTTCCAAAAAGCCTTCTTGATTATTTAAACCACTTAAATATAACGCTGATATTGTGCGATCACCTTTATTTGTATTATATACTCGTGAACTATTTCGACGAAGTGAAAGTAATGGACGTTTTTCATCACCATCAATATCTGCCTGATCATCATCA